TCATACTTTAAGATGTATTTCTTGTTTCTTTCTTAACAGAAACTTTAACACAGAGGAGCAAGGACTTTTCCTAGGTGGAAGTGTACTGGTGTGTAGTACATTTTTCATATATTTCGATCTGAAGTTAAAAAAATATATTGATAACTCCAGTTTTTGATGTAGAAACGAATGAACTAATAAAAAAGGTATGTTCATTTTTTTCGTGTTAGGCGCTTTCTTGACGGGCTAGCGATGCGCTGGTGAATCGTCTCTTAAGTTGCTTTTACTACATCACACCAATGAGCACCAAATGAGTCTTCTGAAAGAGCACATCTAAACGTCCTAAGGTGATGCGCTATCTTCTTCCTACCATTTTCAAAGTGGAGTTCAAACTTCAAAATTATTGTCGGAAGAAATTTAAATTTTTTTAAGTTTTTAGGACACTTCGATGTTTGTTCAATTAAGACATCATTTCAAACCTTAGGATCATCTGCTATACACCATTTTATAGAGAATTTAATGGGAAATCTTAACTACATCATTTTTTCTGTAACACCTGTTATTAGCTAAAGTATTATCTATTTGTATGATATTTCTTGCAAATGACAGTGTAAATTTTCGAAACGTCGGAATAAAGAAAATTAAATGGATCTTTGTATTTGCTGCCGTTTTAAAGTAGTAACAACCGGAGGCATCAGTCACTTGCTTTTAACACCTTCTCGATTTAATCAAGAGCAAGAGAATAAAATATTTTAAAAGTTATATTTATAAAACACACTTCAAAGTGTGAAATTACAGAATAAAAAAGATCCTTCTTTTACATGTCCATACTTATTACAAATATAATTTTCTATATGTTTAGTATAGATGGATATCTAGAAGAAAAATTCTCTGTGTGAGAACCAACACCTTTTGAAGTAAAGTTGAAAGTTGAAAAGAAGAAATTTCTTCAAAAGTTTGAAGAATCTCGTCTTCCGATTCGTCTGCAACTCTCTCTATTCACAACAAAAGATATTCAATTATTTTTCTTGAAAATAGAATCATTTTGTTTCGAAGTTTTCTAAAAGATTCAGTATAATACTTATTATTTTTAACTAGTCACATAAATAATAATAAATAATGTATTCAAATAAAAACACGTATTAAATACATATAAGAACATGAGATTGAATAGATAATCATGCATTTCATTCTACTGATCTATTTAGTTATCCCTCCTCATGTTTTAACCACAGTCACCATTGGTTGTATTGCAAATGGTATGTTAACAAATAATACAGATAATTTAACAAGGTGGTTGAATACTCAAGATAGTGAAACATGTTTATGTTATGCATTAACACTGAATGGTTCAGTTGTTGCATTAAATGTGTTTTCTAATGGATCATGTCAACTATTTTTCAATTATTTATCATATAAAGAAATACAAATTAACTTAAATTCGACATTATATTTACTACAACCATTACCAACAGGTTTATCTATTAAATCTACTGATGGGTTGTTAGTATTATCGTCGTCATGACTGCTATCGTTTAGATGAGCTGAAATACAAATATATCACATATTATTCCTTATCCGAAGTTCCGAAAAAGAAAGAGACAAGGGTGAAATTCTACATATCGTTACTACTAGGATTTCGTCCGCACAAGAAGATAATTAGCCTAAAGTATTCTGACAAGCAGGGATCTAACCGTCTTCCAGTACAAGCAAAATACTCCATAGTCATCCTTGATTCCACTCTCGGTATTCTCTGTAACTCCATCAAAGATTAGAAAGAAAATTAGAAATGAACTCATTAGATATTGCTTTAGCTAAACATAGAAAAACCTTCTGATAGATCGGACAAAATTTTAGGAAGCCATCTGGATCTGGGATAGAAGTCGCTTGTAAAGGAAACTTAGAACTATGGTGAGGAGCGACGGTGAGGATTGCATTAATAACGAAACAAAATAGTATAGAACTAAACACAACACATACAACTTGAGGCACTACTGTCAGGACTATCGAATGCTTCAATAACGTCAAAATCTATATCACTGCCATCTTCTTGTTTATTATTTGATAATAATGACTGATAAACATAGTCTTGATCATTGATTACAGCCAACTGTGGATTGTTATCCTACGATGCCGTTGAAGAATTGGCATGAGTTGTGAATGTGTGCCTTTTATTTACTTGTAAATCAGGTGCGGGACTATCATACTTTTGTTCTTCAGACATATGAACATCTTTTATTGTAAACTCATTAATATTAAATGATTCTTCTTTACGTTGTTTATAATTCACACTTCTAGATTCAACAAATTGGTTATATTTTTTACGGCCAGCTTCTAGGAATCTTTAGGATTCTCCATTCTGATTGCAAAGAGTGATAAAAAAGTTATTGAAGAAGCAACAGAAACAATATAAGCATTTCACAATGAGCAGCACGTTTTCCTAATTACAATATACAAAACTGTTTTTAAACCCAAGGGGGAAAAAGCACCACAAGGCGAGTGTACCCATTCCGGAATACCTTTATTCGAGAATGCCATTCTGCTATTCCAGAATACCATTCCGTTTTTTAGTAGACAAGCTTTTAGTCGAGTTTTCAGGTGATAAAAATAGTTGTAAGAGAAACTACAAGCGAAAGCAAATCTTCATTTTAATACATTGCACGTTTTTTCTTCTTTCTGTATGTATATTCAATATACGCACGGTCTAGCGTGTATTACCAATCAATACAAAAAATAAAGTACTATAAGCACTCACATACAGTAAAAAATTCCTTTTTTTGCTACGTTGATTCAATATAACGTCTCCTTTATTTTAATCTGTACGTTTGTACAGCTATTACTCTATCTCATTTTGAAAAACATATTTTGTCATCAACTAAACACAATTAAACGGTAAAAATATGGAACATCTTATTCTAAACGAAGTGTTGAAATTAAAAGGTATAAATGTTTTTTTTTTTACAGATTTTAAAAACATGAAAGTAAAAGATGCAGTAACAGATAAGCAAACACACCAATATTTTGAAATTATCTTGGGAGAAAAGAAAAATTTATACATAAATCAACTGCCATCTATTTGTTATCGGAGACAGAAAATAAACTATCGTCTAACAGACTTTTACGTGTACAAGGAAAATAATTGTTTAAACGTCATTGCTTTTTCTAACGACAAATCACATATTTTTCCTTTGACCTACAGAATAGTAGCAAACAAATAAAATAAATTCTAGTCCTTCTGATACCATTATTTTGTTACAGACTCAAAACTTTTGCTAGTATTTAGAACCAAAACAAAAACTTTCTCCTATTCTAGAATGTCAGTCCACCATTCTAAGGCGACATTCTGCCATTCTGGAATGCCATTCCAGAAATTTTGTACCCGTTCCGGAATGTGCTTTTTCCCCCTTGTTTAAACCACACCAGAAGAGCAGATTTTTTCTGAATAAATTTTGTTTATCTTAAGATTTCATGAGTTTCTCTTAAATAATTGATCCATCGATGCTTTTGATACTGAACTCCTGTTATTCTTACGACTTTTATAACGAAAGCAAGCGAGCAGTAGCAAAAGCAGTAAGGTAGCATAGGCTACATAGCGGTCAACGTTTTGGTTCTTATGGGCTGCTTGAAATAGATCGTAAGCTTGAATCCTGTGAAAGGGAAGTCAGAGCTTAAAATGTGAGATTAGCCCACGATAGCGCCGAGAGAAGGTCTGTAGACAGATTGACGTATGTACAGTTATAAAGATTCCCAGATTCCTCATCCACACGCTAAACGGCTAAAAATCATGTGTCAACACTTAAAGGAAACAAAAAAGTCTGTGCGAAAATCCCCGACTAGTTTCTGTTTTAATCTACAATTTATATCCAACATTTTGCACTTTTCTTTATTTACTTTGACAATGATTTATTTTCTCTTGCGCTTCTTTCTGTCTAGATCAAGAAAGTGTTAGAGTGACTATATAACCGCCAGCGGTCAGTGATCGGCTACCACCCTCGACCATCAGATATTGTGCTGCTACAGTGCAGGTTTTCACTGGTGAGAAAGTTATTTGATCAGTGGATCCTCTGAAACTGTTGTGGGGGGTAAAGGGTTAATCAACTAGTAATTGCATACTACCAGCCTACTGGGTTGATAAGAATCTTACAATATCCTGTACTATCCTATTACAGGATTTTATAGGATTATTGTGATCCGATTATGTAGGATCTTGTCGTAAGATCATATAGGAAATGCCACATAATCCTACAATCAGAATCTTATGTAGACCTATTCTTGGATATAATAGGATTTTGTAGGATCCTATAACAGGAATCCTGTCATGTCCTGCACTTCACAGGATCCAATAGGAACTGATAGGATCGTAGTGGGATTTTCTGACCTGGGTAGGCTTGTAAAGTGCCAAAGTCCGAAAAGACAGGAAAGTCCATTTTTGCTTTTCTTTTTTCGGAAAGAAACGAGAAAGTGCCACCTTTAGGTGAAACGGTTTCCCTTTTTGTATGTTTGCTAACAGTGTTTACTTTTTCAGTTCTATCGATGTGTTCGTTCAAGCTGACAGGTGGCACGACTACTCTATTTCGCTTTTCTATGCAGTTGTGTATAGCTTTTAACTTGTACACACTAAAATTAATTTGTTTGTCTTTATTTTTTTTAGATGTCGTCACCACAGCGATCAGATCGATTTTACAAAACATTGGTGAAAAAAAACATTGAAGCGAGTGCACAGTTGAATTCGAGTTTAAACGATTTTTTAACTGATACAAAAAACAAACTTTTACTCAGGACAAAAATATTCATAATTTTAATGAGCTAGCCACATTTATGTTAACAATGACAATGTTAACACATTTATCCGAAAACACTTTCTATCGCCATCATGGAAAAATTCTACCAGTACCAATGTCTTTTTATTTTGTATTGATCGGACCAAGTGGTCAGTAAAATAATGTTTTTAAATTACTGATATTTTCAGAAAAGATTCCATCTTTCTATGTTTGATTTATGGGATGTGGCAAAACACCCTTATTCAAGGAGATTGTACGTTCTATTGAAAATGCCGAAGAACGCTTTCCACAATTGTATCGGAAAAAAGAAGATAATGGTGCAGATTTCGAATCGGGTGGAATCATTTCAAATGTAACAGGTTTGGGATTAAGAAAATTATTGACTTCATCCAATAAAAACTTATTTATACATGTTGAATTTGATGTTTTGTTCAATAAATATGGTATATTTTATGCAAGTGATCAAAAATGTGATGAAGAACGAGTACTATTACTCAATGCATTTGATGGATAAAGAAAAACAAATAGCTATTTTGTATTGGTACACCAGAAATGTGAGACCCCTGAATTTTAAGGAATTTTCAGACATACAAGTCCGTGTAAACGATAAAATTCCAGATTTACTTCGAACTGAGATGAATTTTCAATAACACAGATTCAAAGCATAGTCCAGAATTCTCAATACAATGAAAAACGTTTTGCCTAAATATTTATTGAGAAATCTTTTTATGAAGTTCCCGTTTTTACCGTACAATTTAGCGAAAATGCCAAAAAAAAGTCTTCTTAATTTTATTTATAGTTCTGGAACTCCAGATCAGTTGTGGCAGAGAGTTGAAAGCTCATACTGGAATCCGATACGAAAGGTGGGAGGAGGGAGAGGCAAGATTAGAGTGAGCCCTTCCTTGACATTCGGGAGCATGAACAATGAAAATTCCAGATTAGGAACTTGGTGAGATTTCTAGTTTTGCATTGAATCTGTCTTTGCGGGAATTTCTTCCAATTCGCAGAAATTCCGAAATCCTTGACTTCAATTGTGAGGTTGGGAATTCTCCAGAATTCTAAAATCCCACGCATCTCTTGAAAATCTTGTATCATTTATCGTTTTTTTTTTCTTTATTTTAGTTCGCTTAACGGTAATCGTGCAACGGGTAGTAGCAATGTAAAAATGGAAGCATCACAGTTGTCGATTGCTGGCGGTACTGTTGGTTATGGTTTTTGGCGTTTATTAAAAAATTTTGACAATGATAGTGCCTGTATTGGTGTTCACAATCGTTACGTTTATTTGTCATTACCACTAGTTAAAGCAAAGAGACCACAAGAGTGAGTTTTCTTTTCTTTTTCTTCATGTACTCTCATTTTAAGTATTTCGTTTACTGATCTTTTAAGAATGCAATTTGAAAAAAAAATTTCAGTGTTCTGCATCTTTGATACATTTAGTCATTTTTGCCATTTATTTCGAGCAGTTAAGTATGAAATACAACTTAGTAAAGCTGTATTAGCAAAATTAACACCAATCGTTATTTGTAAAGTTTTTTGTTATTTTGTTCAGGTAAAATAACTTCTTGTCTTCTTTGCCTGTAGACTCTAGATCGGCAGAAA